GCGGTTCTGATCCCAGGATGAGCGGTTCTGATCCCAGAGGTTTGGATTTTTACCAGCCAATGGTTCTGGTCGTTGCTCTGGTTCCATTTGGGTTTTCGCCGCGGGGAGTCAGATCTTTCCCGCCCTGATGGCTCGCCGTTTTTTTCCCATCATTCCTCAGAAGGATTCCTGGTTCCTGATCCTCTGAGGCTTAAATCTAATTTCAGATGATGATGATGAGCCCAATGCACTTGTTTACCTCTTACCCCCCTGCTTGCCGTCACCATAGCAACATCGATGCTGTCACCATGGCAACAGTTTGGCAGAGCGCCCTCCCTCTCTCTGACTCTTTCATCCACTTTTCTTCTTCCTCATCAGAAGCAGAACTTCTCAGTTTGTAGTTCAGAACCTTCTGGATCGTCTTCAGCTTCAGACTCACTTCCTTCCTGCAGCCCGTCTGCTTCCAGCTCAGCCCATCGGAACCGAGTCCCAGCGTCACCTTCACCTGATTCTGATTAATCACTTATTCAAAGAACCAGCAGTTAATTAGGTGATTGAATTGTGACCTAGATTAACCGTCACTGATCTTTGAAATCTGACAGATCTCTTGGAGTGAAGCATAGAAAAAATGCAAGCAGATGTCTAGATTAAACTCCACTGATCTCTATTTATTCACCGGATTGCTGATGCCTGTTTGTAGTACTGGGATAAAGTGAAGCCACCGGCCGCCATATTGGTACTCCCTAGTTAAACCGGTCGCAATGTAAACAATCTGTGCGCTACAGCATCAAACAACGATGATGTTCTCATATTCAGGAGGACTTAAGATAAATTCATCACTTTGACACAGACTGGCTGTTTCATAGCATCAGTAGATTAACTTTAACTTAGAAAAAAAAAATAGACGCATCACATCATGTCAATGAAGTCTCTAAATCCAGAGGAATTGGGGAGTACCAACATGGCGGCCGGTCGCTTCACTTTTTTTATCAATCCAGTGAATAAATAGAGATCAGTGGAAAACTCCTGATCCCAGACTGAAGGAAACCAGGAAGTAGGGTTTATTTCAGCAATCGATTCATCCGTCCCGTTTTTATTGATTAATCTAAAAATGATACTTTTTGTAAGATTAACATCTTTAAATAAACAAACATTTGGACTATAGAATAATAAAACAATATTGAGCATAATAAATGTTAAAGCATAAATATATCTTATTTGTATTGATGTTCGTATTGTATTATATATAACATAGAATTGTAAATTTGAATCATTTAATCTCTAAATATATTAGTTATGAATACTATTAAATTATTAAATCCTTTAAAGAATAAATGAATGGAAAAAAAGACATTTACTGTAAAATCAACATAATTATAATAATAGTTTTTGTAAATGAGCTGCCGCCGTTTATTGAAGATTGCGCCCCGGTTTGTAGCCACGCCCACATCCAAAACACCAGGATGTTAGGGCCAATTAGGGACACAGATGTCAACAGGAACATTCAGCTGACTGAAAAGAAGACGCTGCTGCTCAGCGTTTACTAAATGTCAGTTTCAGATGAACTTTTGTTTCCTAACAGTTCTCTTTCTCTTTTCCCCAGGAGCCCAAACCTTGTTTACGTTGCCACGGCGACCCGGATATGGCTCCATCGGAAAGCCCATCAAGCTCCTGGCCAACTGCTTCCAGGTGGAAATCCCTAAGATCGACGTTTACCTGTACGAGGTGGACATCAAGCCGGAGAAATGTCCCCGACGAGTCAACAGGTACCAGAGGACACAGAACGGGTCCATCTGTCCTTCTTTCCATCTGCCATCATGTCCTTCTGTCAACCTGTCCTTCATTCCATCTGCCATCATGTCCTCCTGTCCACCTGTCATCCTGTCCTCATGTCTTCATGTCCTTCTGTCATCCTGTCTTTCTGTCCACCTGTCATCTGTCCACCGGCTGGGAAACCTCTAAACTTGATGCTTTGTGTTTTTCCTCCAGGGAGGTGGTGGACTCCATGGTGCAGCACTTCAAGGTGACCATCTTTGGCGACCGGATGCCGGTCTACGACGGGAAGAGAAGCCTCTACACCGCCAGTCCACTTCCTGTCGCCACAGGAGGGGTAAGACTCTGGTTCAGCCGCCATCTGCCAGAGGGAAAACTCGGACAGGGTCGTTCCAGCTGGAGTCAGCTTGACTCTCTCTGTTCCTCCTCAGGTGGATCTGGACGTCACCCTGCCGGGGGAAGGTGGGAAGGACCGCCCCTTTAAGGTCTCCATCCGATTCGTCTCCCTCGTCAGTTGGCATCTGCTGCACGAAGTCCTGACGGGACGTGGCGTTCCAGAACCGCTGGACCTGGACAAGCCGCTCAGCACCAACCCGGTTCACGCGGTGGACGTGGTCCTGCGACACCTGCCCTCCATGAAGTCGGTATTTCTTCACGTCACGTAACGGTTTCAGAGGAACCCAGGAGCGGAGATGAGTGACGGTTCTGGTCTTCATCCCCCCACCAGGTACACCCCGGTGGGACGGTCCTTCTTCTCCTCCCCTGAGGGCTACGACCACCCGCTGGGGGGAGGGCGGGAGGTTTGGTTCGGTTTCCATCAGTCGGTGAGGCCCGCCATGTGGAAGATGATGCTGAACATCGATGGTGAGTGACGACGGAGGTCAGGGAGCAAAAGACCTCTGGTTTGGTTAATTAGTTAAAGTTGACGGGAAATCATATT